GGAGATTTTTGAGGACTCGATATGAGATGCCATCTGGTCCGGGGGCCTTCTCGCTTGGGAGCCGGCGGATAAGTCGTGTTATCTCGCCGGGCGTGGCAATGAGTTCAGCGAGCAAGTGCTGGGGGATGGGGTACTTCCGAATAGCAAAGGCTGTCGCTGTACGTTCAATTTCCTCCTGTTCAGGGGAGTTTGGTAAGAGACCGGAATGAATACTCTCCATGAACGAAGCCAGAGCTTCCGCCTTGTCTTGGGCAGTGACGCAATCCGTACCATTACTAGTAATGACAGGGGTACGCACAGCTTGCCGCTTCATTTTGGACTGAAGGCGCCACAGAGAGTTGTCTTGAGGACGTAGGTTCTGGAGGGTTTGTGTCCACTTACGGTTCCGAAGCTCGCTGATGCCATTATTAATGGCACCCTCGAGCTCCCGAACTCGTTGGCGATCCTCGTCCCTTCGGAGGCGTTGCCACCTCCTCCGGGTGCGATTCTTCAGTGAAATAAGATCTATGAGCTCTCGAGAGAGCTCGTCACGGCCTTGATAGACAGTTACCCGGTTAGCAAGGGGAGTTAGGGTCTGCTGGATGTTCCTGGTCAAGGTTGTCACCTCTTGCTCAAGAGCGTCTACGGTGTCAATTTGACCAGGAACTTGGGTACGGGTATTGAGATTCTGCCGAAACAGGGGCCAATTGAAGTTTTTATAACTTAGACGAACTTGTGGGCGGGGAGGATCAAGTTCGCCCCAGGTGAAGAAGACGGGTAGATGGTCCGAGCTCAGGGCGTTGATCGTAACGAGATCAGAAAGTTCCCTGAGTCCTTTGCTGAGGGCAAGGTCGATGTATGTCGGTGTCATGTTATTGCTAGGATAATGGGTGGGCGATTCAGTACTGAGGAGTATCAACTCCGGTCGGTCATTGACGAAATCATTTAGGATCATACCGTTGGTATTTCCTCTATGATTCCGCCAAAGTCCGTATCTAGCGTTTAGGTCTCCAAGCAACAAGGAGCGAGAGTTTTGGGGGAAGAATGGACTTAGGTTGGCTACTGACAGACGGGTCTGCGGGGCGTTGTAGCAGCCATTGATCAGGACGCCATTCGCAAGCTGGATGCTCACATGTTCGATGGCACTGTGCCACTGTGGCATCCGCTTGTATGCGATTGAGTTCCTGATCAATATCGCCACACCACCCGCGCGGCGGCCGGCTCTGTCAGAGCGTTCGCAGGAGTAGTTTTTCACCACGAGACGATCTCCATCCCCCAGCCATGTTTCCACGACTACGGCGATGTCGATCCTCTCGTGATGAAGGAAGTGGATGAGCTCACCTAGTTTGCCGTTGAGGCTGTTAGCGTTCCATGTTATTACCCTGAATTGGACTTATTTGAAACTTTTTTATGTCTGTTACGAAGAATATGCGGCTGGCGTTAAACATCTCTACCTCATCTTTGCATCCCTCGAGCATGCCAATGTAGTGGTCCAATGCCCGCATCATGCCGTCCATATTCACCAACGCATCAAGGCGGGCAAATTTGGTTTGGAACGCATTGAACGTCTCCATAGGGTTGGCGGTGGTTTGTCGGCCAGGACGATCGGCCATAGACTCGCGCACTTCACGCGTTGTTTCATTTGGACGCACTCCGCGGTCACGCACGAGTCCACTAGGGAAGTCCCTATCATAGGCAAATTGCGGTGGTGGGGGCCTTTGCCCCTGTGGTCTCTGTTGTTGTGGGTGTGGTGGCTGCTGTCGTGGGGCCTGGGCCGCTCTTCGGCCCCAGGCTGGGTTCTGGGTTTGTGGGGCAGGAACAAAAACAGGCCTGGGAGCATTCCTCTCATCCAGCAGCTGCTTCTTATACTTGTACACCGGGCAGCTGGTCGACATTGCCCGGTGTGCCCCTTTGCAATTTACACAGACCGACTGCCTATCCCTATTGGGGCAGTCGACTGTCATATTATGTGCTTCTGCGCACTTTGAGCATCTGCTGGATCGGTTGCATCCAGTCATGGTATGACCCCAGGCCTGACATCTGATGCATTGCGAAATTTCTTTGCGATTTTTTCGCTCTTCCCACTGTACTCTGGAGGCGAAGAGGGTTTTTATGTTTTCTCTGATCTTTGCCAGTGTCCAGTCTGAGCTAGTAACCACCAGGTACAGTGGGTTGTCCTGCCCCGTATTCTTCATCAAGTAAATCTCCTTGGTTCGGAGTCCATATCTGTCCGCTAGGTACTCCCTCATCTCTGCTGTTGTGTAATTTCCCTTCATATTTCGCATTACAAATGCATGGGTTTTCTCGGTCGGCATTGTATATGTATGGAACTCGGCACCATCGTTCTTTAGGTGCCGAGCCATGCTGCTGTGGTCTGTAGCGTTCTTTGTGTACAGGATGACGGAGTTCCTAGCGTATTTTAACTCCAGTGGCTCTGAAGTTATGGTTTCTGCCATTTGTAGAAATCTTTTATGATTGTTGAGTTTGCCCCGGATAACTATCGGAGGGGGGAGGGACTTCTTGCCTGTTTTTGGGGCTACAGGCGCTTTCGGAGGGGTTGCTTGGGCAGCATTGGCCCTTATCTTCTCCCTCGAGTTATCCAGGGCAGTGGCAGTGGCGGCAGGTTGTGGATCCTTTGTCTCCAGAATCTGATACTTGTTCCTTACTGGGACATTGAATAGACTGCCGAAGCCCGTCTCCCTTATTAATATGGGGGAAGGAGGTCTACCCTCACTTGTTGTTGGGGTGGGTGGTCTGGGGGGCTGTTTGGGGATGGTCCCATTCCCCTTCATAATTTTCCTCGATTTCTCCGGGCTTTTGGTGAGCCTTCGTTTTATTGGTTTTGGTTTGGTGTATTTATGTGCTTGCTTTAGATGTTCAATCATTGTCTCGATATGTTCTCTGACTTCATCCTCATTTCTCAGTTGAATGTAAGTCAAGTATTTTTGGCAATCTCTGCATGTGCTTGCCCGATATTCCAGTCTTTCTCTGACCTTCGGGATGCTCCTTTTGGTCAGAGAAACGCTGGATGTAGTGCTCATTACGCTCCCAGTATCTGATTCGTTAGAGGCATCCTCGCCTGCCTCTGTTTCGGACGGCCCCTTACTTTCGGGAAATCCGCTTGTCGCCATTGTTTCGGACGTTCCCTTACATACGGGGAAGCGTCCCCTTACTTTATCGCTCTCTATTTATGTGAGCGTACCCTCACTTTTGGTTTGAGGAATTTTCTAGTGCAAGGCGGAGTGCCCTCACTTTTGGTAAAGTCCTCTCGGTCTGTAGCTTCCCTCACTTGCTGCACATGAAGGTTGTTCGCTTGCGTATCACAGCTTTGAGAGATACCCTCACTTGTTTGGGACCAGTGGTATCTTTGATCGTGCCCCAACTTAGTGGACGTTCCCTGGCTGAGAACGTCCCTTTACTTGTTGGGAGTTCCCTTTTTATATAGGTGCCCTGACTTTTGTTTCGAGTCTTGTTGCTAGACTCGTGCCCCAACTTAATGGACGTTCCCTGGCTGCGAACGTCCCCTTACTTTTAGTAGGATACCTTCTCGGTTTTAGTGCCCTGACTTTTGCAAAAAATATTTTTGCAAAAATTAGTCCACGTCCCCTTACTTAGTTCAAAGAAGACATGCCCTGACTTTAGTTTGAAGAAAAATTTGTTTTGGTTTCCGTCTAAGTCCACGTCCCCTTACTTGGTTTGTGACTTACAGCCGTATTCATAGTCAATCGCCAGCAAGTCGCCAGGGAGTCGCCGTGTGCTGGCCAAATACGGCGACTCGTTGGCGACTCGCTGGCGATTGACTATGAATACGGCTGTTAGTATGGAGAATCGTGCCCTGACTTTTGGAGATTTGGTTTGCAAAACGTTACTTGTTCTCGTCCCCTTACTTGCCGATGTTTGGCGATGGTATAAGCGTGCCCTAACTTATTTTGGGGTCCTAACTAATGTTGCTAGGTACCCTTACTTATTTCTGCTTGGCAGCTTTTGTGGAATTTCCGGAATTTTACAGCAAAAAATTCCGAAAATGAATTTAGGCCTAAAAGGCTCCAATTTATATGGGCGAAAGCCCCGGAGAAACACTGGGTATTGCTACTACCAGCACTTACCCGACGATGAATTTGACGCAGAAAACTGGGAAATTACTTGGCACATCCGGAAGCGGAATGTGCCGACAAAAAACTTTATTTAACACTAGAATGGCAAAAAGCGACTTGTTTACTTTAAGAGCACAAAGCAAAACAAAGCACCCGTTCGATACGACTACCGTACGTATCGTACGTATCCTAACTAGGACACACCATGCCTGTGAAAGTAATCGTAGAAATTGAAGTAATAAAGGGCGCAAAATATGACCTAACCTATAACGATACATGGCTCCGCCTACCATACCGATCCTCATTAATTCCTACGATTAGACTCTTTTTATATACAAGACTGCCAACGTGTCAACTGGCTTTAGTATATATTCAGAGAATTTTTTTGGCGTTGGGTCTCCGTCTAAGAGGGGAGTACGGATCTTGTTTACACCACTGATGCATCTCTACCATGATCCCTCTCGAGCAGCTCACCACTCCTGGCCCATGGGGGGTCTTGTCATCACAACAAACACTCAGTTTCATCAAGAAGTATATTCGAAGAAGATTTTGGAAAATGTGTCGAATTTCGCAATTTTGTGCAAGCTCAAGTTAGGATGAGTTTTTACTTTTTTGAGTTTTTTGACAAGGATTTGTTCTCTGATTGTGCAGGACGGATACGCCCTGTATCCTGTATCTATTGTTGCATAGTTGTTGTTGTATTTGATTTGAGGACAGGTAAGCCCTGAATGTTGGTTTCTTCAGTAAAGAAGTCATAGGTGAGAGTTTAAGGGTTAGTAATAGGAAAGGCCTTAAGGACTTAAGGAGTGTAGTGGAACACAACGATTATTAGTTGAATCTAAATTTATTAATCACACACAGTAAGTAGTACTATTTAACATTGTAGACTTAGCCCCCCCCCCCCCTAAATTAAAATTTTTGAGTTATTTCACTCTCAATCGTTTGATAATCGTCTAACCCTAACGAATTTTAAAAACGACGGTTTTGTGTAGTGTGTGGGGCGTAGCTAAAATTAAAATTAAAAACGTTTCAACATGACGGATCTTTGTCAAACTAAACCGAGGTCTATGTGCAAGCCACTCCGATCCGTCGTTTTTGCTCGACCAGATTTGCTCGCCGAACAAAACCGTCCAACAAAAACGCACTCTGTGGGCTCCTGAGTTTGTCAATTTCATAAAAATTTTTAGAACTGAAAGTGGATAGTACAGAGTGAACTTTCATTAAAAATATTTAATAAACCAACTAAGGCCTCCTATAGTACTTTCAGGACCTAAAATGCATTCGGAGAAGTGAACTTTTCTGCACACACGTAGAAAAAAATCCGTTCCTGACTAGTGCGGAAAGTGCCACTTTTCCGCACTCGATTGTAAGTGGCCAATTGATGCATTGGCTTTTAGCATTCGAAGAACCCTCATAGATAATGATGCTGCCAAGATTTTTATAAAAACTGAATGGCTATACTTTTGACAATGATTAGTTATATTAACGCTTTATTTGATTTTAAATATTGCAGTGTTTTACATACAAAAATTCATGTTGGGTTTGTTGTTCCTAAAGCCGCGAATGCAAAAGTGATTTTAGTTGATTCAATGAAAATACAAGAATATTGAGTTTTGTGGTATGTCAAGTGGATAATTTTTTTCCAGTAATATGCAAGTTATTATTTGAATTTGAATGCATAGGTGGGTATGCAATTTATGCCCCTTTTTCAGTTAATTTGAAAAGCAAAATCCATGTGAAACCTAGATCTTCGTCAGGCTTCGGTCACTGTAGCATACATTTTCAACATGCGGACACAGTCATTATACACGAATGTCTTTGCATCTTTGGCAAATACGAAGTCGACATGATTGAAAAACGGCCAAGGAACTATGTGTCCTATTGCACCAGGTATTTCAGCTATCAATCGTTCGAAATCCTAAAAAGAAGAAGAGTTAGGTTAGATATAAGTTATGTTATACTTTCAGATTTTTAATAATGTAATTTTTTAAGGGTACAAATTATACGCTCGATATTTTATTTCGAATGCATATTACATAACATTATTAAATACCTACTCGATAAAAATAATATAGGCTCAATAAATGAATAACAAATCATCAGAATCAAATACAAATATTTCCTATATCCTAATATCCTATATCAATAAATATTTGTTAAAGAATAATATAGGTTTGATTAATTTATGAGGATTGCTCAGTGTCAAACTCTGATCTGTATCAAAGATAAGAGAAAAATCTAAATTCAATTAGTTTCTGTCATTATTTGGTATACTTTGGGTTAGTATTGGTAAGTTTGAGTTACTTTGGGTTAGTATTGGAAACTTTGGTTACTTTGGGTTAGTATATTGGTAAGTTTGTGTTACTTTGAGTTAGTATATTGGTAAGTTTGGGTTACTTTGGGTTAGTATTGGTAAGTTTGAGATACTTTGGGTTGTATTGGTAAGTTTGGGTTAATATTGGTAACTTTGGGATACTTTGGGTTAGTATGGGTAAGTTTGAGTGACTTTGGGTTAGTATTAATAAGTTTGTGTTACTTTGAGTTAGTACACTCAAAAAAATTATCATTGTTAGGTCAACAATCATATTTAGTTACACATATTTTTGTCGCAATACCAAAATATATGGTAATGAAGACTAAAAAAAATATATTAAATAGTTAGAATAACAATTAAGTTATTGTTGACATTATTATGTTTGAATCACAAATATATGCTTTTCACTTATTATTGACGTGGAAATTTGGCAGGTTGACCCTCGTATAATAATGACAGTATATGTCAAATTCCAGACAGTTTTAAGTGTGGTTTACATAATTTCGTAGGTGCCGCGGTATTGAAATTCTCTGGCCTATCTGGCAAATCAAATTTGACACATTTTTCAATGCATTTTTCAATAATGCTATATTATAAACGGTACCTAACTATTTTGCGTACCTGCAAAATCTAATGACATTTTTTAAAATTCGGCATTGTCAAATTTCTTTCGTATTGAAGATGCCGAAAATAATCTCAGAAGAAAAAGAAAGGGAAATATTGAAATGTCATGGTTATTTAAAGAAAAATAAACCAGAGGCTCTCCAGAGAACAATTGAAGCCCAACTTGCAGATATATTTGAGGTAAAGTCTGTTTTTTTTTTAAAGATAATTCCCCAAGTCAAAAATTTAGTAACTATGTTGGCAACACAGGCCTTTTCTACTAAAAAAAATTGAAAGCATTGACAATTTTACATTGTGTTGCCAACATAATGTCAGTTTGACTTTTATCTTTAAAAAAAAAACAGATTTTAGGTATAACTTAAATGTTGATGTGAAGCCATTTCTTACCCAACCAACATTTTCCTTAAATTTTAGGTGGGAACCAGGTGTTATGTAACGCCACTGCTTCGCCATTGCTTTGCCACTACTGCAGGCCACTGACTTGCAGCGAAGAACGAAACTGTTTCATCAGCATACCGCTTATTCAGCATAATTACTTAGTTTATAGGAATATTATTTTTTAACACCATTCTTGAGCCAACTTTATTGAATTGTACACCGTACAGCTAAATATTGTCAATCGGGTCTAGAGTAACCCCTAAGATTGCTTTAACAGCCTTTTATAAAACCTTATTAAAGCTTTGAAGTTCCGAAAGCAAAGTTTTATAGCTATACAGACAGCGTCCATAAAAATTATTCCAAGTCTATGATAAAACTATTAAGCCGCCTTGAAAAGCCAAATGGGAGAAATGAAGTGCAAATGGAATTTTTTTAAATAAAAATGGCAACAAAATTTATATTCTTAAAACTTAAGGGGCTTAACCAAACTTTATCAATTCTTCTACTTCGCCATAATTTCCCACAAACATAATTTAAACTTACTACATTTGTAATGGACGATCTATGATAACTATGAATGGTATTACACAAATATAATTCTTACATAGACGTGATTCTGCATTGAAATTTATATACAAACCCAAGTTTACTGATGAAAGTGTACTTCAAAGGTTCAAATAACTCGTGGGCCTTGAAAAAACCCTAATTTTGACAAAAATATAAAAATACTAACCTATAATGTGTCAATTTTTTTACACGTTTTATGGATATTCGGAGTATAAATATGATGAATCATTTATAATAAACTGTAAAATCATAATTACAATACCAGATTCAACAAAATACCTGATAAAAAACAGTGAATATAATTTTCTACAGAATGGATTCCAATCAAACGCGTTCAAATGACAATTAAACATGGCGAAATAGTGATAAAGCTAACAGTTCTTTTCATTGTATACCACAAATCTTAATTGCGTAAAAATAGGCCTGCAAACCTTGGATTATTTGTTCTTAAATTTATTTTGCTTTAAAGCGTGTGATTCCTAGAGCTTCTGGTGGATAAAACGGCTCTATAAAACCTTCATAAAACTCCAAGTTATTTGTCTGAAATAGGTTGTTAGGGCTGCTTTTAAATTTTTATGCTTCCATCTGGCGGAGAAGATTCAAACTCTTTCAATGCTCTCGTGATCTTGGAACCTGCTTGGTGCGTTGAGAGGGTTTGGATCTTTCTTCGCTAGATAGAGCATAAAATTTTTAAAACATTAGGCTTTTTCGGAAACGCTGATCCAGATCTGATTCTCTCATTAATCCGATCACCAGCTGTTTGTTTTCTATCTTTCCGAAAAAGCCTTTTGTAAGTAAACCAACCTAACCACCTGTTTTTTGTTGTGGACTGAAACAAACCGTTACGTTATAGACACAGCCTTACAGACCACAAACAAGCGTTTTGTTAGGTTAAAATAAGATTTCAAAATACTAATTTTATTGAACGGTAGATGTCGCCTGCCACTTTCATGTGCTACATCACACCTCAGGAACTTTAAAAAAATTGAGATTTAACGCAGCTTCTTTACTCCCCTTCTTAAACCCAATTAAGTTTAAAAAATTCTTTCTGGTATCGGAGAAAGGTATGAAGTTTAGAGACATCTTTTTTTGAAGCCTGAAAGGTTTATTGATCTTCGGTTTTATTGCAGTTTTAGGCTTTACTTTTGCACTCCTTTCATACAGCTGAATTCCTTATTCGTAGGTTGAGATAAAGCAGAACGGTTTCCAGATCTTTCTAAAAGTAAAATAGCTTTAAGCTAGAAATGTTTGCAGCATTATTACGGCTACTTTAAAACTATTCGCGTTTTTAATGCTGAAAGGCTGTAATATTAGGTGATTACGATGTTGTTACAGCTCTTCAATAAAACACAATAGTTTTAAAATAGTAAGCTTCCAATTTCACATTCTTAAAACTTTCATATAACCTAGATAATGCCAAAAAGCATTTAAAATGTTACTTGGGTAAGGTATCTAGTAAATAAGTTTTGATGTGTAATTTGTTTAAATAAAAGTCACAACGAATAATTTGATGCCAAGAGACTTGCTTCTGTTCCCTAACTAAAGAACTTAACAAATTTTGGCGACGAGGATCGGATTAGGGTGAAAAGAACAGCTTCGCAGTTTGATATCAATCGTTCCAGATTACATCTGCCAGCCAGCATCGTAAGTAGACAAGTTTTCAGAACGCATTTCTAGATTTTATTTCGTACTTATCATCATGCCTATTGTACAGTGGAAATCATTGCAATTGGCACACACTATATAAATATCCCTCGTAATGTGTCAAATCTGACACACCAGTAATAGCAAAATGCTGCACTAAATAGATTTATTGGTTAGAATTTTGACTCAAGTCAAAACAGCTCACGTCCCGATTCCCCTCAAGAATCCGTAAATCAAGATCACAATGATTCAACTCCAGATAATAATGCCTATTCATGCTATGTCAGATATTCGCGCAATTATTTCAGAGAATTTTGATGGCGATCGCACCAAACTCTTTGATTTTTTACAAGACTGTGGTCAAGCATGGATTCTTTGCCGTGGTCCTCAAAAAATTCTCCTAATATCTTACATAGAATCCAAACTCAAAGGATCCGCACGCGCTCAAACTAGATTCAAAAAATTCTATGATTTCGATGAAATTCGAGACTGTTTAATTGAACTATTTGGTGATCGACGAGATCTTTTTCAAATCTTAGAAGAGTTAAATACATTAAAACAAGGTAAAACGGAATCAGTGCAAAGTTATTTTAATCGAATAGAAACCCTACAAACATTGGCTCTAAATGCCTCTTCTTTCCAAAATCAAAATGAATCAGTGGGTCGAATTGCTATATAAAGGAAATAGCTTTGCAACGATTCATCCTCCACTCAAGCGACGATATTTCTTGTTGTTTACGTAGAGCTAAACCTAAAAATATTAATGACGCGCTCACAGAAGCGATCAGAAGAAAAACATTTGCTTGCCAGAAGGTCTAAATATGTCAACAATTCTTTTGAAAAATATTGTAGTCACTGTAAAAGGAAAGGTCATTCATTTAAAGAGTGTTATTCTAAAAATCGAAACACCGTTCATTTTAACTCAGCACAAGGGCAAACTTCTCATACCCTTCCAAAAACAAATTCCAATCCATATAATTCTGCTAATTCAAATTATAACACAAAATTCTGTAACTATTGTAAGAATAAGGGTCATACTATTACAGAATGTCGCAAAAGGGAATATAATGATAAACGAAAAAATTCTATGTCCAATGCAAATAATCAGCAAAATCAGCCTTTAAATGCCAAACAGTCCACAGTGAGTGTCACATTGTTGGACTAAATAATCAAGATTCTGGCACAACTCAAATCGAAAGTAATAGTTATTTACCTAACAAATGCGGAAAGTGATACTTTACCGCACGCAACGGCAGCCGTTAAGGGCGGTAAAGGCACCCTCCGCATGTGTTAGGTACATAATTTTACCTATGAGCATCTACATCTCCAAAAAAAGGCATTGATAAAATTAATTAATGAATCAGATTAATTAATGAAATTAGATAAAATTT